TACATATATATATATATATATATATATATATATATATATATATATATATATATATATATATGTATATATATATATATATATACATATATATATATATATATATATATATATATATATATTATATATATATATATATATATATATATATAGATATATATATATATATATATATATCTTCTTCATGTACCAGATCTGCTGCAGACATCGGCGGTCATGGACTTCCACTCTTCTCTGTTGCCAGTCTTGCGTATGATTTTTTAGTTTCTTTCCATGATTTGCTTTGCAGGAATGTACCTATAGCAGGCTGCAATTACTTTCTATAGGGGCAGTACTCGTACTGCATGTTGTCTTAGCCATTGAACTCTTGAAATATCATCTGCCTAACACACTGAACAGATGACCAGTTCCCAAACTCTTCATATATACATACATGCACACACACACACACACACACACACACACACACACACACACACACACACACACACACACACACACACACACACACACAACCACATACACACACAAACACAAACATTTCTACGTGTGCGTGTATGCGTTTGTGCTTGGCGGTGAATACATACGTTCCTGCAAGGTCTATATAAGTACTTATACAGACCTTGCTCACAAGTTCCGTGCCTGTGAAGCCGAGACCGAACGACCTTGCGCCATGTGTTCGCAGCCACACACCGGCGGCGGGGACGTTGCATCACGGTTAATATTGGAAAACAAACACGTCATAATGTCCTTCCCGGAATGCGTTCGGCCTTCTGGAGACGAATTTCGATTCCTCAGGACTGGGCTCTCGAATGCATGCATACAAACACACACACAAATGTATGTATATATACGTACACACATACACACACACACACATACACACACACACACACACACACACACACACACACACACACACACACATATATATATATATATATATATATATATATATATATATATATATATACATACATACGTATATACACACACACACACACACATATATATATATATATATATATATATATATATTCACACACACACACACACATATATATATATATATATATATATATATATATATATATGTGTGTGTGTGTGTGTGTGTGTGTGTGTGTGTGTGTGTGTGTGTGTGTGATTCTGATTCTCCATTTTCTATAATTACCAAATTTTCTTTACGTATTGTAGTGTACAGAATATTCTAGAATGTTTGCAGTAATAGCAAAGAAATGTATATCACTTGTATACAAAAGTTGTATCATACGGAAATCCTGTACGATAATATTTACGTGGCAGTAGTAAGTTTATATGCAACAGAAATTTCAACCATAAACTCCAGTAATTTTAAAATGTTTAAGTTACCTAATTATAGGATAAGATTTTAAATTGTGACTAAGCTCTGCTTTCGTATCCTCGTGTTGCGTGGATAAATCTGGGGAACGCTCGCGGGCGGCAGAACGTTGCGCGATATGGTGAACGTTCGAAGGAATTTGTGAGTATTCCTGTATTTACCCTTCCTGGCCTTCTCCCCTGAGGATTTGCCGTGAGTTGCTTCCTTGTGAGCCTGGAGGTGAAAGGCCCGGAGGCTGTGCAGTGTCGAGCATGTACATGCACTGCATCTACTAACATACCTCTTAGTCCCTTATTCCAACCAGATGAGGTCCTGATCCAAGCTCGGTGAGGTCAACCGGATGGTCTCCTTGGTACGGCAAAGATCAAGCTGTCACTGTCACAATGTAGTGACATTTATTCTCTCAGTACCTTTGTAGCTGTTGGGTAGTTTGGCTCTATCTTTCCAGCTTCCCATCATTGAACTCTGTTGTGGGTGAGGGCTTGAGAACCTGAATGAACAGATTTCTATATGGCCCGTAGAGCAAAAAAAGAGGTACACCACTACATGACGATGGGTATTGTATGAACTGATCACAGCTGTCTCCTTGGATTCCCACCGTACTCCCCCCCCCCAAAAAAAAAAAAAAATGGGTTGGTCTAAGTCTTGCAGCCATCCCGAAGTGGTCTCCGCTGGCCTGGAAGAGTGGCCACAAAATATTCTGATGGAGAGTCTGAGGTTCAAAGCTCCCGAGAGCAATAATACACTGATTGAGGTTTTCGAAACCTAACTGGGGTGAATATTGCCTTCACAAAACAAGTCACTCCGAACTTCCGGCTTTGACTCCTGAGGAAAGAAAGTCAAACTGGCATTACTTGCTTTCCAGTGTCATATGAATTGGGTCTGGTTACACCTCATGCCCACGTACTTAGGGTACTTGGCTTCCTGTCTGTGGAAGAGCAAGTCCTGATCACGCTGAAGGGAGCCATTTAAGTTGCTATATACAAACCCATCCACAATAGGCATTGCTAGTTCAGTTTATATGTATTTTTTTGAATGTTGCACAGTGGTTGAGAGCTGGCTCCATATTACTTATTAGGGACACCTTAACAACTTGCTGGATTTCTGGATCTTTCAGTGACTGCTTTAATTTACAGCATAATTTTC